TCTTAAGATTTTTATATTTAAGAGAAAACCTAAATACTAGCTTGGCTCATTATTGCCGAGATAATGGACCCGACTCACGGGGTGGTGAGAGATGGATTCTTGATACGGCCCTAATGATCTGAGTTGTTTCAAAGACCCAACATGCATATTTTTTTTTGTAAAAAATTATGTCTAGAGGCGAGCTTCGAAGTAAAATTTCATATATAATTTTTGTTTTTCAAGTCGCAACAAATTTTAAAAGGTCCTAATAAAATCCTGGTGTGAAATAAGCTAAATACCACTTTTAAAAATTTTCAAATCACAAATGAATACAAGTCTAAAAGTTTTTTTTTTGGTACAATTCTTTTTTTTTTTTGGTACATAATACAAGTCTAAAAGTTAAATACTCTAAAATCTTAACCGCTCTTTACAAATTCCGGACAAACACACTCTTGTATCCACCAAGTATTATATGTTTTGTGTTGTTAATTAAACGGGTCTATCTTTGTTCGACTTGTTAAGGTTCGAGTTCGGTTCTAATTCGAGGCTTTCACGAGCCGAGCTCGAGCTCATATATAGCTCGTTTGGTTATCGAGTCGAGCTCGACTCCACTCGATAAGGCTCAAAAATTAATTTTTATATAATTCTCGAGATCTTCTCGTTAATACTGATAAACGAGACGAGCTAGAGCTCGATATATGGCTCATTTTAATTATCCCATCCGATTTGCTTTCTGTGTAATCTGCTACCATCCTTGTCCACATAGCTTGATATGTGGCCGCAGTTTCTTAGAAGATTTGAAAGTTAGCGCTTTTGCGGGGACCAAATATCCCTAGTCCATAACAAGAAGCTATAAGAATTCGATCAAGATAATAATAACAACAATAATAATCGCCATTGTTCTCCTTCCTCGACCAGCAACTGCCGGCGATGGAACTCAGTGGCGTACAGTCGCCGGCGGTGAGCAGCATTCCTCGGATTGTGCCGTTAGGGAAGCCATTTTTGTGCGGGCCCGCCATTCTCAAGCTGTTCGGCCAAAATAGGACATGCCCAGATGCCAGAAAGCTCAGATTTCTCGATTCTAGGGCTCGAGCATCAGGTAGTTTCATGGTGGTGTGTGAAAGTTTGAATCATTTATTTTATTTGTTTGCTTAATCTAAAAGAAGAAATTGAACCTTCATGAAACAGCTTTGTTGAGAGCGAGTGATACATTTCGAGCTAAAAATGGTGGTTAGTATTTAGTAGTTTTTGGATTTGAGTGTGTTTTTAAACTGTATCTGTCAGATTTTTCTTGCTGATTGTCACATTATACATGAGGATTAACTATTAAGGAAAGAATCCTGCATTGATTTTTATATAACTTCTAACATACTTTCGACTCAGATGAAAAAAAGCCGTCTTGATGTGATTTGGGGAACTATTCGGACCCGTGCTTGAAAATGAATGTTCGCCTTTCGAATTTTGTTTTACCTCTAATTCTTGCCCATTGTTTGAGACCTTCACTCAACCAGTAGAAATCTTGCTAGTATGCATTATCTTAGCAATATCGTTACATGTTTGAATCTCCAAGAAAGCACGTTTTATCAAAATGAGATAGAATGCATAGATTGTGTAAACCGAATCTATTCGATATTAACATTCTTTCTTAGCTTGTGTTCATTAATTGCCTAACATCATATATAATATCCTACATTTGATTTTGTATGGTATTTCTGTTTTGGTCTTTTAGGCACCACCATAATCAAGTGTCAAGCACAAGACACTGTGCCGAGCAGTAGCAGCCAAAAGGATGGGAATCTCGTTTTTGTTGCGGGGGCCACTGGCCGAGTAGGATCACGAACTGTGAGGTGCCCTTTTGGACTTTCCATAGGAAATATGAATTCTTACAAAAAAAAAAAGAGAGAGAGAGATTATCTAGAGCATATTCATTGTTGATAACAAGTTGTAGAGTTTCCTGCAGAGAGCTCTTGAAATTAGGATTCAACGTTCGAGCCGGTGTTCGGAGTGTTCAGCGAGCTGGATCTCTTGTCCAAGTAGTAAACCTAATTATTATATATATAAAATTATTTTTATTAATGTAAGAATTTGCTTTGCAAGCCCTTCAATTCACAAAGGGAGTTCTCTCTCTCTCTCTCTCTCTCTCTCTCTCTCTCTCTCTCTCTCTCTCTCTCTCTTTAAACAGAGTATTGAGAACATGAAGCTTGAGGTAATGGCAGATGGCACTAAACGTAAGGTTCAGAGCTTTTTATAGTACCTAAAGGTTGCTTTACTTAGCTTATTTTGACGATCTTATACGCTTTTGCATCTTATAAGATACTTCTAAAGATTAAAACAGAAAGATGATATTTTTGGTAAAAAAAAAAAGGATCTTTTTTGCTTCCATGTGTGTTTTGAGTGGGTCAATTATTCATTTACATGGCTAAATTCAAGTTGAAAAAAATCATTTATAGTTCTTTGGTCTTTAGCCCAGCTATAGATAAGTTTGAACTTGTGGAGTGTGACTTGGAGAAACCGGACCAGATAAGGCCGGGAATCGGGAATTCATCGATTGTTATATGCTGCATTGGTGCTAGTGAGAAGGAGATTTTCGATATAACGGGACCGTACAGGATTGATTATCAGGCTACCAAAAACCTGATTGATGCAGGTAAAGAGAATAAGTTCTGAATTCAGGATTAAGTAAATCACTAAATTGTATTTTGCTTTTAATGTGTTGTGATAAAAAATAATCAAGTAACTTGCCGCTCATTTAAAAATGATTTGAAGTTGTGATACAAATATTGGAGCCATTTTTAACCAACACTCATTTTTATTTTTCATGACTCGAGTTTTGTTCTTTTTTATTTTTTTAATTTTTTTTTGGCATTTTCTCCCTATGCAGCAACTTCTGCAAAAGTTGATCACTTTATATTACTCACATCTCTTGGGACAAACAAAGTTGGATTTCCCGCTGCAATCTTGAAGTAAGGCTACCAAAATTTTCCATTGTGACCTTTTTAAGTGTAAATAATCGATTTTTTTCTTTTTTCCTTTGCTTTTACGGAAATAGTTTGTTCTGGGGAGTCCTTATATGGAAAAGGAAAGCAGAAGAAACACTTCTTGCCAGTGGTCTTCCTTACACCGTGAGACTATTTATTTATTTATTATTATTTTGTTCTTTTTTTTTTTTGTATTCTCTTGAATATTTCTGCAGATAGTTCGACCGGGAGGTATGGAGCGCCCTACCGATTCATTCAAGGAAACTCATAATCTTACATTATCCGAAGAAGATACTTTGTTCGGTGGCCTAGTGTCAAATTTGCAGGTTCATTTGAAAATTTTTCTGTGTGTCTGTGTTTAACTTTTATTATCGCTTTTTTTTTTCTTTTCTCTTGTTACTACATAAAGAGATGACTTAACTAAATTTGTTAAAAAAAAAAAAATCACCAAATGAATTTGTGCTGATTAATAATACACCAGGTGGCAGAACTAATGGCATTTATGGCCAAAAACAAAAGCCACTCGTGTTATAAAGTTGTGGAAGTTGTTGCAGAAACTTCGGCTCCTTTAACGCCAATGGGTGATCTCTTCAAAAAGATACCAGCTTCCCGATTGTTCATTGACAAGGTAATTTATTCTTTTTAGCCTTTAAAGTAAAGAAAAATGACAATATTATTTTGTGAAAAAAAGTTTCTGAGTAGAAGGTATTGATTTTCTAGTCAAATTATATTTAATTGGCATGACAATAACCAATGAGCCATCGCATTATTCATAAACTACTGCCTGTGGGTATATTGTATGTATGTATATATATATATATATGAAAATAACAAAAAGGGGTCAAAATTATGCTGAAAGTTTATGAGTTTTTATGGCGATAAATTTACTAGTTGAATGATATTTACTTTGGAGGAGGCTGAAAACAAAGATAAGAAAATATTAACCTTCATAACTTTTTTTGTACGGCAATGCGCTTTCAAAAGTATTTGTAAAAATGCTGGTGTGAATCTAATGGTTTGGATTTTAATCTGATTGTTATTAGGAATCTGATGATGTTGATGGATCGAGGCCATTTGTTAAAGACAGCTTGTTGACTGAAAAGAAAACCGAGCAGATAATCACAACTAAAGCAGCAGCACCACAATCCCCATTTACTGCGTGAGTTGCATAAATATTCGATAAATGTCATTTTTTTTATTCGTTCTGAAAGAGTTCAAATGATATGTGTTTTTAAAAATTTCCTTGTATCTTTTCATTTTCGCTTCTCTTTATCAAATACAAATAATTGCTTTTTTGGTCACTGATCTGTACATTTTCTGATCCCTTGTTTTTTCATTCATTTTATTTTATCATTTTTGTTCTTTTGGTAGCTATGAAGATCTAAAACCACCGACTTCTCCAACCCCTACCCCGAGCACTGGTCCCGGGCCCACCTCATTCTCAATCAAAGTCGATTCTAATTCTTCAAAATCGACGAATATTTCGACCGATAATGTGGGCACTAATAAGGCTGCGCCAAAGAAAAAATACGCCTCGTCACCATACATCAAGTAAAGATATTTTTTTTTTCTCATAAGGGTATCTAAATTACTCATTCCACTAAAAAAAAAATGCCATTTATAATTATCTTGAACCGTAAGTATCTTACATTAATTTACGAAAAATATATTGGTCAACGCTTTAGGCGAAAATAGTTACCTTTGTTTTTGGAGTTTCATCCCTTAACAGTATTTTCTATTTCATGTAATTATACTGAAGCTTAAAGTTATATTTTTTACCCATTATAATGATCCCTTTATCTATTTACAGTCATATTTTTTCTTCCATTATAAATGTTCGTTTTTGTTTTTTCTATTTACATTGAGAAATAAAATTCTGCAACTGTTTTAATCGACAGTTATGAAGACTTGAAACCACCGAGCTCACCAACCCCAACTCCAAGTGGTTCCAAGAAGGAATCTTTCACTGCCTCGATTTCTTCTGAAGTTACTGTGGGTGATAATATTGTCGTGAAAAGTGAAAGCACAGACGTAGGGAAAAAAAAGCCTACAAAAATACCAGTTTACCGTCTATCGCCTTATCTTGCGTAAGTTGCTGACTGGTTTTTGCCTCTAATTTTGTTGTTCTTTAACAAAATTTCACCTTTTATACTTTGGTGGTCTTATACTCTTATTATGTGCTATATTTGGTTTGAGTTATGAATTTTTATATTTCAGATACGAGGATCTCAAGCCGCCTTCATCACCATCTCCTAATGCGCCAAAATATTAAGCGCCGAACAGAATCTAAATCTTACTCCTCTACATTTATGCCGTATGATCTAAATCTTCCAAAAATAGAAAGAATATATTATTATTATTATTTATTTTTCTTGAAAAAGAAGCTGGACTAGTAGTAAAATAACGTGTCTTCGTTTTTTTCGACCAGGTATGAGGATATGAAGCCGCTGAGTTCTTCTATGACTTCTCTTAGGAAGCTCTAAAGCGTAACAGAAAAGTTTTTGGATGTTGAAAGCGTACGATATTTTACTGTATCGAATTTTTGAAGCGTCTTTTGATAGTTTGAGGAGTACAGTGTGTGATAAACTGATAACCTTTTGTTGTTTGATGACAGAAAACCATTTTATTTTATTTTTTCTAATACATGCAGACTCTTCTCACTTATAGTGTTCTTACTTCTTAGCTGATATGTATGTATTCAGTATTCTGATTCTTGCAGAAAGTGTGTGTGTTTTTTTTTTTTTTTTAATTGAGTTTTTACAAACTCAATTAAATGTATCTTGTGCTACCTGGACTCGGATATGAGTGGCGTATCAAGTGTGGAGATATGAGCGTCCGACTCGTCAATAGTTTAGAAATCTTGAACATTTTAAGTTAAAATGTCACACCTGACACTCATACCGACACCAGTGTCGTCACAACATGACACGGATATTCTTCCTAAATAGAAGAGTTCGAAGCTGATATGTATGCATTTTTTTAATTGAAATATGAAGGGTCAATCAGTAAAGCCGCCTCCAAAGATAAACACATAGAGTAGGGAAATAAAAAATGGGTGAATTTGACATTTTTACCAAATTTGGGTACAAGTTGAATTGTTTAAGTAACTATATGTACCTATTTGTTATTAACAAACGATTTGGGCATGAAAGGAAAACAATGGAAAATCACTTTTAGTTAAATTAGGGTTTTAGTAAAATCGCCCTAATTTTTAGAAATCAGCTGCGAAAATCCCCAATTTGAAAAATATGGATCCACCGGAGGCCCCGAAATCCGACGTCGCTCCGGCCACCGTCTCCGAATACCTCAACCCCAACTACTGGTCGGCCGCTAAAACCCTAGTTTTCTCTCTCATCTCTCTCTCTCTCGTTTATTTCTCATGTCATTTGAACTGAATATCGCCATTTTGGGGATAAAATTTGAACTTTTATTAGGGATCGGAGGTTTGCTAAAGAAGAGCATTACGAATGGTTGAAGGACTATTCTCATTTTCGTCACCTTATTCTTCAGTACATCAAATCCAACTCTGCTGTAAATATCTGTTCATTCTCTCCACTGTGTTTTGGGTGTTGTATCAATTTTTTAATGAATGTAGTCTTTTGGTCCAACAGGTATTGGAGCTTGGCTGTGGAAGCTCTCAGCTGTGTGAAGAACTGTATAGAGATGGAATCACTGATCTTACGTGTGTTGATTTGTCGCCGGTTGCTGTTGAGAAGATGAAGCAAAGATTAATTTCCAAAGGGCTTAAAGGTTGCTGATTTCTTGATTTGTGTTTATTTTTTGGTGTTGTGAAGTTCATAAATGACCAAATTTAACTGGTGAAGTACTCAAAATTTTGCATATTGATGATCATTTCAAGAAGAATCTGTATATGATAAACATCAGCTATAATCTTTGAAATTCTTCGTTTTTTTTGCTAACCCTTTTCGCGTTTTTTGTTCTTGATATTGCCATTTCAGAGATTAAAGTGCTGGAAGCCGACATGTTAGACCTGCCTTTTGGGGATGAGCGTTTTGATGTGGTCATAGAGAAGGGAACCATGGTAAAGTTTATAAAGTACGCACTTAAACACTCCTAGGATTATTCAGATCTTACTAATGGATTGACTAATCTCAGTTATATGCTTGATTTGATATTCGTTTGTAAGTTAGCATGTAAGTTAAATGAAAAAAAGGGTATCCGAAAAAACCGTAGTTTTCCCCAGTGGCTAGAATTATTGGATGCGTTTGGTGTTTGTTACTGAAGCGTATGCCCTTCTTCTTTTTGTTTTCTTTCTCTGTTTGGAACATGAAGGACGTGCTTTTTGTCGACTCTGGAGATCCTTGGAATCCTGAACCTGTGACAGTTGGCAAAGTTATGGCTATGCTTGAAAATGTTCATAGAGTTTTGAAACCCCATGGTGTTTTCATATCGATTGCCTTTGGCCAGGTACACAACAAATAAAAAGAAAGTAAGGTTATGTTTGGTAAACCTAGCTGATAAGCTAGCTTATAGTTTTTAAGTGAATTGGAGCTTATTTCTAATATGATAAAAGTGTTTGGTAAAATTTTCAATAGGCTTATTTGAAAAGCTACTCAAGGAAGGAAGCTTATGAGATAAGTTCGAGTTTTTTAAAAAAGCTCGTCCTATCAAACCAAGTTTATTTGAATACAGGAAGCTTGTAAGCTAATCAAATAAGCTATAAGCTAGCTTATATGCTTACCAAAACACAACCTAAGATTGACCCACTTTCATGCCTACCTACATACATATATATATAGATATATATCCGAAAGTGCTTATATAATGGACAATCATTTTTCAGCCGCATTTCAGGCGCCGATTTTTTCATGCTCCGGCTTTTACATGGTCGTTCGAATGGAAGACATTTGGCGAGGGATTCCATTATTTCTTCTATATTTTAAAGAAGGTCCGCTTCTGTTATATGACCTTAACTTGAATTTTTTCTGTAGCATTCTTTCTAAAAAAAATTAAAAATAATAATAATAAAAAAATAGATTGGTTGAGTGCATGAATGCTAACAGGTAAAATCTTGCAGGGAGAACGATCATCAGATATCTCAGATTATAATGACGAAAAGGTTAATAATGTGCCATCTGTATCCATTTTCCATGAGGAGTTAGACAACGAGGACTTTTTATTTCGTGTAGATCTTGACGACATGTGAAGTTTTATGCTAAAGGTAAAATTTGCAAGTCCTCGGTAATTTTAGTCCCTACTTTTGGCGGTTTTCCTTTCATGGTCTAACAATCAAGGTCTGGTAAAATAGTAATGAAGCCTTCTGAATCATACATTTTCACTTGTTAGCCGTTTTTCTATAACTTGCCCGTTTTGCTTTTGAATACTTGATGCTTTATTACAACTCATGACCGATTTTTTGTTTTTTATTTTTATTTTTATTTTTTTATTTCTTATCTTACAGTTTGCCAAACCCTCCCAATTTGGGCATCTTGCTCGACACAATCTGTACTTTATTATCGAAGTTTTGCAATGATTGGCACTAAATGGTGGTGACAAACGGGAAAAGGAATTAGCATAGGGTCTTGAATCGGTAAGACTGAGTCGATATTAGTGCTTTCTCTCTTCATGCTTTGGATTTTCGTGAGGGTAATTTCATGAAAATGTACTTCACTGTTAGTTTGCTTCAAGCTGTGAGCCTTTGGCTTGAAAATGGTAGAGATGAACTGTAAACTTAGCAAAATTTGTAATGTAGTGTGTTGTTATTTTGGGGAAATGTCATTGACCTACTGTTGTTACCCCTTTCTCACTTTTTCTGCTGATCAGCTAAATTATATGAACTTAGTTTACTTATTTGGATCAATAAATTTGTTTGAAAGCAAAAACCAATTTTTATATAATTATTTTCGCTATGAGTTATTAATTAAAAGTATTTTTTTGTAATTAAAGCCAAAATCTATAATTAGTAGTTCTATGGTGTAATACATAGATTTCATTGTTTGAAAAGCTAGTAATTAATACTTTTTATGGAGTAATACGTAGATTGTATTGTTTGAAAAGCTAATAATTAAATATGACAAGTAGCAAATAAGAATTGATAATTAAAGAATATCGCAAATAAGAATTGATAATTAAAGAATATCATTGGATAAATATAAATTTTACGATAAAGTAATTTTATTTTAAGCTTATTTTAACGTTAATGTATGTAGATTTACATTTAATTTATTGTTATTTGAAGTAATTAGTAAACTACAACTAAATAGAATTGGAGATTCTAAATACTATTAAATGAATCGATTGCATATGATGAGGAATAATAATTAATAACTGATATATTAGACTACTTTTTCACGTAGGATTATGAATAATAATTAGTAACTGATATATTGGATACTTTTTCAGATAAAAAACTAGTACAATACCCGTAGGTGATTGATAAAATAATTAAATGTACAATAAAAAAATAAAAAACAAATATAAATTTATATGTATATATATATTTTGTTGAAGTTGGAAAAAATAAATGAAAAACAATACATAACAATTTATAATAAATAACTAAGTGGATTAATACTATTTTTAAAATTTTGAAACTTATTCATATACCTCTCTAATTTTATTATTATTATTATTATTATTATTATTATTATTATTATTATTATTATTATTATTATATATATATATATCTATATATATATATATTAAAAGCCAACCTATTTACCAAAAATAGTAGCAAGAAAAGTCAACACACATTTAATGCATATCTTATTTGGAAATTTTTTACAATATGCATTAAATGCTTGCATATTTACATTTATTATTCAGATATGATCTTAAAGATTTTTTCCTTAAATAATTTATGCAATGATTTTTACTCATATCCATTATAATTAATATCTGTCGAGTAATATTTTTTAACCTTTATTTAATTATATAAAACTAATATTTTTTTAAAAAAATAATATTATTTATCATTTAAAAGATAATGATCACATCATTAAATGATTTTATTGATGGTTAGATAATAAAATTATATTAGTTATTCTTTAAAAATTTTAATAAAATAACCGACTTAAGAATAAAAAAATCCCATAACATCCGATAAGTCAAACAAAGTACGTAAAATATTTACTAAAATAAAAAAAAAGACTTTATTTATTTGTCTTATTCCATAATAACATCGATTTAGTCAAAACAAATCCCATAATCGATGAAGTCAAAAAATGTACGTAAAGCCTATTTATACTAAAAAAATGCAGATTCAAAATTCATTATCTGATTTCGGTTTAAAGCATTTTATGTAATATTTATTTATATGAAATATTGGATAGGATTGCTGGATCTGAGTCAATTTTGAAATCGCGTTGTTTGGTATGAGAGAATTATCCGCATCCTATATCGGTCTAAAGCATATTATTTTATATTATTTAATTTATTTATTTATTATAAACTTTTTTTATCCATGATATCAGTTTTGTCAAAAAAATTGAACAAACAAACAAATAAAAAAGAAACGGGATTAATTACCTTCGACTTGTAAAAAAATTATGGGTGGACGTAAATATTTAACAACGTTGTTTCAAGTTCCTTAAATAATACTATAACTATGATGTTGAAATATAATCTGTTTTATGAGTGACGTAAATATGTTGTTTAAAGTTCCCTAAAATAATTTTTTAAAAAATTATTCTGTTTAAAGTTCCTTAAATATTAATATATTTAAAGTATACACATGCTGTAATATATTAAAGTCAAAACAATGTTGGAAGGTTTTTGAATTATCTAAGTTAATTAATTCAAATGTTTAATCCATTAAATCTTCAATCCATGAAATATTTTTACTAATCTCGTGAGCATGTTGTTTTGTTATTGTAATCAACTTATACACTATTTTACTAATAAATTATTTAATATCTATGTACAAGGAGGTCTTTAATAATATATGATTTTTTTTGTCAGATACTATTTTATTGTATAATTTTCATGCATACTATAAAACTTTTATTGAATATTGTATCTTATAATATAATATTCCATAAATAAATATATCTCGTGTCTCGCACCGATCCCGTACTATATATATCCCGTACATTTTTTATTCATTTATATAATTATAAGGTCGGATAAATAACCTTAAAATTGTGCACCCCGTGCATCGCACGGGCTCTGTACTAGTATATATAATAAGAATAACCATTTACTAAAAATAGGAGTAAAAAGTTTGGAAGCATTTAATGCATATATATTTTTTAAACTTTTTAAATTATGAATTAATTGTTTCCATATACACGTTTCAAGTAAGATCAATTCAGATATAATAAAAAATATTATTTCCTTAAATAATTAATATCTCCAATAATTCTACTATATCCATTATATTAAATTACAAGATTGATTTTTCGTCATTCATGTTGATAATATTTGGTCAAGATAAATATTACGACATATTTTATGTTCTAACCATAATATTAATTATTTTTCACAAATGTTTACTTTTTATCTAAAAATAGTTATAGAAAATCGTAACAGGTTATGTAGAATTTTTTCTTCCAAAAAATCAGGCGTATTACGTTGGTGAAGTAATCTTTGCCAATATAATTTTTTCTTAAGTTTTATTTCGTTATATATATTAAAAAAAAAATATTCTTCAAATTAATATAATTTGTCATTTATGAGATATTGACCAGTCACATTAAATAGTTTTACTAATGGTAAAAAATTAAAATTAAAATATATTAAATGTTCTAGAATTTAGTTGTATATTATTGGCAACCATAACTATTTTCTTATCATTTTTTTTTTTTATTTCGATTCTTTTCTACAGTGAAATTCTTGTAAAATATATTTTCACAATAATGCTAAGGAGCCCACTGTTGGCTCCTTAGCATGACTGGAGTTTTTGGCATTTGATAAATCAAAGTTGTTTATTTAGTATACAAATTAAATTCTAACAGAACACGTGTGTATATTTTGTAAAATATTGATACACTGTTTAATTATAAATTTAAATACATATTTTAAATTAATTACATAAATATATAATACTAACGTGCATTAAATAGTTTTCATTATATAAAATAAACAAAAAGCGTTCAACTCTTATAATTTTTATAAATAATTATGACATCATATGACAACAAAGTTTATAGTTAAATAATAATTAAGTAATATATGGTGAACCATAATAAGTAAAATTGTTATTTTATCTTATA